ACTCCCGGAAACTTTTCTGTGAACAGGTAGACAGCATAAATGTCTAATTCCAACCGGAATCTGTGGTCGATGACACGGGCAGGAGGATATGGAGGAGACAATGAAACTCCCAATGGACTATCATTTCCCACCCGGTATATCGAATAACATAGATGAACCGATATTGGAGGAAGGGGAGGCTAACACGGAAATTGTAATTACATCTGATATATTTAAAATTACTTGTGTAGATGAGCTGAGGATGCTCTGAATACGGCCTTGAGCTGGGCTCAACCTTGAGGCCTCAATGTTAACCCGGCGAAGACAGAAATCTGTCTTTTTACGAGAAAGATAAAAATTTCTACGTATAGTGAACCCTGCTTCCTGGGCAAGATGATACCGGTGACAGACAAAGTTAAATACTTAGGTGTAATTCTCGACCGGAAATTAAAATGGATAGGATCAACAAGGCACATCGGTGCTGGGCGATATGTAGGAGAACTATAGATATGAAATGGGGTCTTAAGTCCTACTATGAGAAATTGGCTTTATTAAAGTTTAATTAGAGCAGTTCTATCTCATGCTTCAATAATCTGGTGGACTGCTTTGGACAAAAAGTGTAATATCCAACTACTACAGGGAGTTCAGCGTATATGCTGCTTGGGTATATGTAGTGGTGCCATGTGTACTACTTCAACAAAATCTCTGGAAACGTTGCTAGATATTCCACCCATTGAAACATATTTAAGATATGAGGGGACGCTTACAGCCGAACGTCTCTTTGCTTTAGGCGAACTGGCCAAAAGCGGTTATAGGACATGTCATCAATGTATACTGGACACGTTGGAAGGTTATACACAATCATTGGACGTGCCTGATCGCATACCAGACACAGAATGTGTCGGAAACTTTGAAACGCTGATCCCATATATAATGTCTTGGTCAAGCGGAAAACTAGAGCAAATACCATTAGGAATCCGTTGTTACACGATGGCTCTAAATTGGGAGATAAAGTGGGCCTGGGGTTCTATATTGAAGACCCAGAAACAAAAATATACCACCGTTTACCTAATCATAATACAAGCTTCCAGGCAGAAGTCCGAGCAATAACGGAATGTGCAAATTGGATTAGAATAAATATGGCGCTTACAGCCCTTAATATATTGGCCTAGGTGTATTTCTTTGGACTTGATGTACTACACATCCTCTTATCAACCTAACCTAACCTAACCTAAGTGTAATCGGGAGTAGCCGACCCTAAACTAGTTATGAGTATGATTAATTTTACCCTTGTTAAAAATTTCACAAAATGTTTCGCAATTTTGTGAAATTGTAGCTTGTTTTTGCAGCAATGATAATAATGCTGTAATAATTTTTTATTTTTTTATATTTATTGTGTATTTTGTGTAATATGTATAACGTACGTATGTATGTGTGAATGTAAACGTAATGTTTACAATTAATCACTACTAAATAGTTGTAAAAAAACAAAATAATCGAAATACCCGCATTAATTTCGATTTCCATCAAATATTACAAATTACAATTTTTATTTACTTTTTATATACATAGCAACATACATACATAAATACATAGATTCTTATAATCAAACAAACAAATAATACTTACACATAAATAATGTTTAATTAATTGTCAAATCAAATAAATAAAATTCAATTTGTAAAAGTCATTCGCAACTTTCAGTAACAAGAGTAATAAACGATTCTTCAATTCTTAGCGAATAAAATTATAGCAAGAAAGTAAATACTTATTTACGTTTATACAAAAGAAAAATAAAAAAATCTTGAAATAAATGAAAAATGTCACTTACATTAACCCACCATAGAAACTCCAAATTAAAAAAAAGAAAAAAACTAAACGTCATTCATTTGAAATAATTCATTAAATAAATATAAGTTGACAAGCAAATAAATTTATGTATAGATATACATACATAAGTCAATATCATTATCGTTGTCATCGTCCTCATCATCATTCTTTTCATAATACATATGACATTTTAATAGTCGTGCCGAGCACAGAAAAGTACAAACTTGGAACCGATACATACATATTATGATGATGAGGATAATCTTGTGAGAAAGCAATGAAAATGTACCCTGCTCACTGTGTTGACATTAATCATGCATACGCAAATATTTCTTATGTCCAATTTCATTTCATGTTCTTAACAAACACAACCGTAACAGATTAGTATCCTTAAATATTCGGTAAATAACCGTTAAGGCACAACGATAATGCGGGAATAAATTGAAGACCAATTTGAAAAGTATGTATGAGAGCATCTGTAAATCACATCTAAACTCTTCATAATGAAGTGAAAAAAAGTATTCAGTATAAACAAATAATTTGCATATAAATTGGACATAAAAAATAAAAAAATAATAAACGGAAACCAAATGGAATGAAAACGAATTATAATTATCATACAACCAAATTTTTTATGACACATAATAGATTTACTTTTAAAATGATTTAACAAAATGTATATTTTAATTTTAATTTTAAGAAGTGGTTCATTCCTGACAATGTGTAAATTTATAGTATTTATTTTCATACAACATCAACATCAACAAATATGAAACTACAATATTGAGTATTAAAACGTTTCAAATGAAAAATATTATGAATTTGAAAAAATTCGTATCATTTAGGAACGTATTCTTAAATATTTTTACTAAAGACTATAGTCAATGAATGCTGATCATAATATTTATGCTGAAACTTTTTTCTGTGTGTTTTTGTAAAGGTTGTTATGAAAAATGAATAAGAAAGCAGAAAAACTAGAAAAAGCCAAAAGTTAAAACATACATTTTGATGCTAAATGATAAATAAAAAGGCTAAATTTAACCTTAAAAAGGTTAACCTGGCAACACTGCTTACTAGACAGGACAAGAAACGCAGGATTGAGAAGAAACTTGGATGAAATATTGGACCTAGCTCATTCTGAATTCATTTTCGGATTCAACATAAGTTTTAGTTTTGAAAATAAAATTTCCGTCACCCTTGATTAATTTTACCCTTGTTCAAAATTTCACAAAATGTTTCGCGATTTTGTAAAATTGTACCTTGTTTTTTGTAGCAGTGATAATAATGCTGTAATAATTTTTTATTTTTTTTATATTTATTGTGTCTTTTGTGTAATATGTATTACGTACGTATGTATGAATGTAAATGTAATTTTTACAATTAATCACAACTAAATAGTTGGTAAAAAAGAACGAAATACCCGCATTCATTTTTCCATCAAGTATTACAAATTACAATTTATGATCTTATGATCTCGAGATAATACCACAAATTTCTCAAAATAAAAACATTTCCGGAATTTACTGAATCTAAAAATGGTTCCATAATTGAGCTTGGTCCAATATTTCATTAAAATTTCTGGACAAAAATTTTGAAACAATTTTCCCACAAAATTCCATTTTCTGACTTAATTTTCCTAAATTTACTTTGTATGTATGATGGTTCTTGTCTTAAATACTATGAATACTGAAATTTTACATTTCAGATTAAAACCTGTACTGAATCTGAAAATGAGTTTCAGAATTGAGCTAGATTTAATATTTCTCCAAATTTCCTTATAAAAATCGGAACCCATTTTACCAACCCAGAAATTCTATTTCTCGCTTAATTTTCCTAAATGTCTTCTTGTCTTGACTAATTTTAGTACTTACTAGCCTAGACAAGAACTGGTGTGAAATGAAATTTCGTTGGAAAATTGTTCTGAATTTTCTTTCAGAAATTTTGATGAAATATTGGACCTACCTCATGTTCTGAATTCATTTTCAAATTCAGCATAGGGCTTAGTCTTGAATACAAAATTTGAGCCACCCGCGACCTCAAGATCTCTAGATAATAGCACAATTGCTTAAAACAAAAAATTTCGGGAATTTAGATGAAATATTGGTCCCATTCATCATGGGGATTTACCCCAGACCCACTTTGCCATCCGTATAGCAACGGATTCCTACTGGTATTTGCTCTAATGTTCATGCGTGACCGCATAGGTCACGCACGTCCGATGATTGCGTGTAGCCTTCCAATGTGTCCAGTATATATTGATAACGTGTCCTATAACCGCTTTTGGCCATTTCGGCCAAAGTTTTTGGGTCGTTCGGCTGTAAGTAACCGCCTCTTATCTTATTATTGAAATGTAAGGAATATCCAGCCTTGGTTGACGTAGTACTCATGGTACAACTTATACCCAAGTAGTAGTTTGATATTACACTTTGTTCAAATAAGTCCACCAGATTATTGAAGCATAAGCTAGAATTGGCCTAATTTATAAAACTTTATAATGGGACGCGCTCGTTAGGAAAATTAAGTGTTATCGAGTTTAAGTTTCTGAGTTTTCATTTATTTGACAGTCACATTCAGCTCGACAGCGCTTGCTGACTAGCCTATTAAAAGTTAGAAATGTATGTACCTCTTTTTTATTTTCCATACCACTGTGCACTACATAATGTACTTTATTATTTATGTTCAAATAAAAATACCAGCGAACATAAAAAAGAAGGATAAAAGTGAAAGTGAATATTTCTTGCAATTTAGTCGCAGTTTATTATGAAAAAAAGCTTTATTTAACGACATATATATGGGTCTTTTCGTGTCAAGTGACCCATCTTTTAAAATCGATGTCTTCCAATTTTGATAAAATTGCACCAAGGTTAGTACTATTGAATAAGTAGGCCTATCTGAGCTCCTTTGGACAATTTTTGCTAGGATCAATTGGGTGAAAAGTTACCCTCATAATGAATAAAACCCTGTATGACGAAAATGTCCAACTTTGACCCCCTCTAATTCCGGACCGATAGAGCTAAAAATTTGTGTCTGGCCTTCTCTCTAACCATGGTGCAAGTTTATCAAGATGGATTTTTGAGTTGGTCACTTGATATGAAATTTCCTATAAACATATGTTTTTTAATTACTTTAAAATAAAATAATCATGTATACATAAATTTAAGTTTATAAATCTTGACTTGTTTTTATTTCAGAACTTAAAGCCAACAATAAGTGGTCCTACAGATTTGTACGTCAAAAGTGGCAGTGACATAAATTTAACATGTAAAATAATACAGGGCCCTCATGAACTGGGCAATATATTTTGGTATAAAGGTAAGAAGTTTTAAGCATGTACTCAAGAAAACAGCAAAAATTAATGCATTTTTAATTAATCCATTTGAATGATTTGTTTTCAAATTTTAAAAACATCCAATTACTTATTAAAATATGTTTTTGAGTTTCGAATTATTCCGTTCTGTTGGTAGCCAAAATTTATTTGAGTATATTGTGTAGCACTTATAAATAAGTTTATGTAATTAACTTTTTTATTTTTTTTTTTTTCATTTTACATTTTTAATTAAATAAATTTATTCCAACAATGTTCATTGTAAATATACACATGTATAATATTATATATAAATATGTATACATACGTATCGCACATTTAGTACATGACTGACATAAGTCAAAAAAAAATCATTTCGCCAAAAACGGCTTTGATTGTTTGATGACATTTCACTATTTCTTAAATAACTTATTAGCAAATAATGGAATTTGAGAAATTAAATCAAATTTAGGTTAATATGTAAATGTAAAATAAAAATAGATCTAATTATATGAAAGACTTTAGAATTACGCATATTATTTAGTTCTCAGTTGTAAAAAATAGAATTTCGAGTTATATTAGTCTTATAGTAATATTTTTTATGACGTTGTTGCTGGCTGATATTTAACACATATTCATGATATATACCAGCATTGATGTTCATTGCGGACAGCGACACCGCCAACACACAAACCTAAAATGTTTAATTCACAAAAAAAAAAAAAAAATAAAAAAATAAACAAATATAAAGTCCTTCCATCTCAATGTCACCTCCTGTGAGCACTTTTCTACATTTTCTACATTAAAAATGTGTTAATTTAATTGTGGTTTACTTCAGTTTAATGTTTTTCTTTTTCATTTCTTTATTTTAATTATTGTTTTTGTGGAGTATCACTATTCTGATTTTTAAATTTTTTTTTCTACTTTTTTTCAAGGATCTGAAATAATTGACATGACTACAAATCAAAATGAAATTGATAGTGGGACAAGGATAACAGTTGAAAACGATTGGTCGGATGGTCTTACTTCAAGGTAAGTGATATTTGCTTTGCTGAATTTAATTAATTATGTACAAATAAAAAGGAATATCATAGATACTCACGATTTATAAAATAAATTAAATATTATTTTTTTAAATACAGTGCCTATGTTTTGTATTTTTCGAATTGACAAAAAATTTTTAAAATTTAATACAAATAATTTTACTTATATTTTAATGTGTTTTTCAAAACTATTAAAATCTCACTGCTAAAAAGTCAAAGACTATTATATTTTAAAGTTTCTTCTCGATTCGAAAAATACAGAACAAAGGCACTATTTTATTTAAAAAAATTAATTTTCATGCTTTTACTACGAGCAATTCTTAGGAATTGAATATATTTTGAAAACATTTACACTTTACAAGTTGTTCAAAAAATTTTAAATGAAATTATTTCATTAGGACATTTACACAGGAAAATCTAATTAGTAGGACTGTGTTCATATTGTTAATTATAAAGCATTTGTCAACTATATTAACAATTCCGTTTATAATTTTCAGATTGAAAGTAAGAAGAGCCTCATCCAGTGACACTGGCAATTACACTTGTGTACCGACGATAGCAAAATCATCGAGTGTATATGTCCATGTAATTATAGGTAAGTTGTGTATCTCCATAATATATATTAAGTAATTTTAATAATCTTATTAAAAGGTTTAAAGAATATGAACAAACCATAATTAATTATTCCGGTTGGTAATATTATTTAGCATGAATATAGTACATATGTACATATGTTTAAGAAACTACAGTACAAATAACTTCAAATATTGAAAACTTATTTTATAGATATTTAATTTTAATTCAGCTTTAAACTTTTCCAATATTTTTGACACACATTCATATACATACAAATAATATCCACACTTTGAATCGTGAGACACACACCTTCATAACCAGACTCAACTGTCCTATTCTATTCCATTCTATTATAATTCTCTATATTTATAGTTTCTGTTTAGCCAAGTGGAAATTTGTGATAACAAAATATTTTACTATATTTGTATGAACAATTTTTATTTAAAATTAAAAAATATATCCATATATTATATAAGTAGAATAAACTTTGTTCAAAACGTAAAATAAACAACGAAGTTATTTAAACTGATAATAACAGGTCAACTAACACAGAACTTGTAAAATAAATGTAGGAGAAAGTAAACCCTTCTCAATAGAAGAATGAACATGGCTATCAAAGGACCTTCACATATACCTAGAATGAACTAAATAAAAAACACTTAGACAATGACTAGAAATGTTTTTGTTAATAACACAATAATGTAACATTCGTATGTTTTAGGGCGTAAATAAATTAAAATGAAAATTATTTCATTGAATAATAGGACAATTTATTTTATTATCAAACATGTAAGAATATATAGATGATCATGGCCGACCAAAGTGTGGATTATTTTTTTAATAATAAAGCATTTAATTTGTTTTTTACCTTAATTCCGAAATATTATGACAATTTGTTGACCAAAAAAAGTTATATGGGGGCAAGGGTAAAAATGAGCCTATCCTTATACGTTTTGGTAAACGGATTTACGTCTACATTAAGGTTAGTTATTCAGAATTTCATGGTGATATTAGTGTTTATAAGTTAATTTTGACTTTCAAGTCACTTTGTATGGGGGCTAGAGCCAACTTATATTCAAAAATCTATTAAAACAATGATTGAAAAAATTAAAATATTAATCAAACACAAACTCTATCATTTAAAAAATTTTAATATATTTGTTTAATATTATTTGTCGATATTTTATGAAATAATGGTTTGAATTAGCCATTTTTATTAAATTTCAGTTGACCACTGTAAGAAAGATCTTCATTTAAAATGGACCAATATTGACAATTAAAAATAATATTAATAAAAAAAATACTCATTCAATACGAATTTACACCATATCTGTACATGTAAGAGAGTAATATTTCTTATTCTCACTTTCATATATATTAATTAAAAACCAGTTTTCTCAGGTCATTTTGGTGCAAAAACCTATAATATAAAACAACAAATTTACAGAATTTTTAATAGTAATCAACATGTTTAGGTCAAACAATAACACTTGTTTATATCAAAAATTGCCGATTTCGATTTTTGATACTGGAGCGGTTATCCGTTTTCTGTCCGTTTTGATAAGGATAAAATAAATGTAAATAAAATAAGAAAAAATAAAATTAGGAGTCTGATAACGAAAATTGGATTATTTATTTAAGTTAAACATTACTCAGAACTTATACTAATTTTAAAATTAAATTATACTTTTTTATTTAAGGCGAACATCCAGCTGCAATGCAACATAATTCCAGCAACATGAATAATGCCAACTTTTACACAACCTTTTGTTGCATGTTATTCACTATTCTAACATGTTGTTTACAAAACTTTATGTGCACCAGCAGAAGCAAAACAATTAAAACCACAATAACCATATTGGCAATGAAGAAATCATCAACAAGTAATGCATCATTATCAATGGTAAATGCAACATCAACATATGCATCAGCGTCAACATCAATGTCAGCTACAAAAACAGTAGTACAAAATACGAAAAGAATATCTACTGTTGCTAAAATGGCACAATCTAAACAATACATTTTACCTGTGTTATCATTCAAAGAAATAAGAACAATTCCATCGTCAGCATTATTTGATACCAACGGAACAACATTACCAACAACTGCTATGTTAGCAACTATGTGCAGGAAAGCACCGCATTTGAGTTGCAATGGCAGAATCTCTAGATGAAAGATTAAAGTTTATGATGAACAAAGTTCAAGACAACCCAGATTTCTTTAAAAAAACAACAAAACAAAACCAAGTAGATTGTTAAGGTGGTGTTTTTTCATGTTTTAATTCATTCCATATACTTTTCTATGATTCAATTTTTTACGACAGACATGAGTTTTAAAATACAAGTAGTACACGTATCTTGGAAGAACACAAAAAATACAATACATAAAGTTTAAGTTCTTTTTATATGGCAGAAAAACAAAATAAATAAAATAAAATTATAATAATATTAAGATGGAATCGTAAAGGAAAATGGGAAGAATGTAAAAGGCTTTGTGGAATAACGTACATACATCTGTGAGTATGGATGGGTGAGCAAAATGTATACAAATTAATGAAACTGAACGAATGAAATGATGGAACAAAAGATTTCATTGTTGTTCTCATTTTTTAGCAACTCAAAGAATGAGAAAGTGGTAATTAATCTTTTGTGCAAAGAATAAGTCAGTCAGCGAATCAGTTAATCAGTGAGTTAGTTTAAGATGCTCTTACAAGGAAGTAGTTTTGTAAATTATATAGAAATCATCACAATGATGTAACAAATATTAAAAATTAACCAAAAAAGTACGAATATTATAAAATTTTACGTTTTGTTTCTCCGCATGTTTTTTTATCTTATTTAATATTTAAATTGTAGTTTTTATAAAAATATTTAAAAGTTCAAATAATGTTACATAGATTATAAATCAAATATCTGTTTTATTTTTATTTCATATTGCAAAAAAAAATCTTCGAATAAATTTGAACAATAATTTTTTAATATTTTTCATAATAAAGGGACAACTTTAAAAATGATTTGTTGAAATGTGCACCAAGGTTAGTACTATTGGATAGTAGGCCAAATACAAATAGGCCAGGAACTGCTGGAGTTAGAGGGAATCAAAGTTCGAAATTTTGGTCATACAGGATTTTTTCAAATGAGTGTAACTTTTCTAAATTGTCCAAAGGATATCGATTTTTTAAGTTAGGTCACTTTACACGAAATTGCCCATACGTAAATTTCTTTTATAGAAATTAATCTCATTTAAAATAATTTCCAATATTAACATAAAAGTTGCACGAAGTGTAGTTCAACAACAAGTATATGGGAGATTGTGTTTTTTAGATAACTTCTTGTATTTTAAAATATGTACATTAGAGTTGTTATAACTTTTATAAAATTTTTGAAAATTTCAGAACTGCCCTATCCGTTCCATATAGAATATATGTATAGTATAAAAAGCTTGTTGAAACTCTAATATACATACATATGTATATATAATTATAATTTTAAAGCATTAAAAAGTGAAAATAAATATAACAATAAAGAAATCGATTAAAGACTTGTGGCGATAAAAACCCTGCAAAAATTATTCGAGTACATGAACTATTAAAGTAATTGAAAAACTACTCTCCTGTATACATCATTGGAGTACATGATTCGCTTGGTAGACCTATTTAATTAATGCAGGCAGGGATCACGTTTATTTTTTTGAAAACATCATGGTCCATAGCCTGCATTACATGAGACCATGTTGCGGATCGTGTAATCCCATAATTTATGCAAGGGAGTAGTTTTGGAATTACTCCGATGTAATGTGTAATGGATTACGTGGTCCTCACCTAGGACAACACAATGTTAAATGAAGTATTTTTTTTTCCATATATTTGAATTAGTTTTGAACCAGTCCTAGTCCTTTGAAGAGTACTAAATTTTTGTAGAGAATATCAAAAAATTGTTTTCACTTGATTTTTTTTTTTTATAATTTTATAGCAGTAAAATATTAATAACAAAATTAAACTGTACATTTCATAGAAAAAACATTACATATTTTTTAAATTTTGATTACATTTATGGCAACTTATAGAACCCGATATCTTGCAGCGAAAACAATTTATTGATTTGTCCTTTTTATATTTTATCCTTTCATGTTGAAAGCTTCATCTGATTGATTAAATACAAATT